TTCATCTATTATACTGGTAAAGATGAAAACTGTGGAAAATATAGAGAGCTGATAAGATTGTAGTGAGATACATTAGAGAGAATAACACAACCCTTTTGAAAGACAGATTGTAAATACCTATCAAGTTTCTAAAATATGCATTCCCTTGATCCAGCCATTCTTGGAATTTTATGTAAAATTCATATTCTTATTGTGTTCCAAATTATTTAGCTTCCTACTCAGAATTTCATGGTACTTTTCTCACAGCTTTTATGTCAATTAACACTCTGTACTGCAGTTGTGGTTTTTATATCTTTCCCTCAAATGTGCACTTCTTGAGGGCAGAGATCTTGTCTGATTGATCATTGCATCCCCAATTCTCTGAACCCAATAGATGAATGAAGGTACTAATTAAAAACATTCTTAATGTTTTTAATGTTCCAGTAATGCTGTAATAATAAAATTATTAGAGATGATGACCCTGAAGAATGTCCACGCTTTTCATGTTTGAAAGACAGTCTATATTGCTTACTGATTTGTTATTTGGCATTAAGTAAAAGAGTCAATAGGATACTAAATAGTATCTTCAATACTACAAAGAAGCTTCAGATGCAGATTACAAAGAAGCAAACAAATCAGCAAGAAAGAAAACTTCAGAAAGTGAAGTATGTTGTTTAACCAAGAAGAATCTAATGGACAAAGGATACAGACACTAGCTATTTAGTGGAAAAACTTTGGAATGGGGAAAAAAAAATCCCAGTGATGAAAATCCATTTTGAGTGTTTGGTTGAATCATTTCTGAACTCAGTATAGCACCATGTGAAGTTGAATTCATGTCTTTAGTTGAAATGTGAGATGCCCATTCAAGATGTAAGTGAAAAAGAATTTCTAAAGCTATGGTAAAAAACCAGAGTGATATTGCTCACAGAGAAGGAAGATGATTTTAGTTTTTAGTCTGATTTCAGCTCTTCATTGACTTGGGGAGATCAAGTAAAAAAAAAATTTTTTTTTTCGCGGCATGTCTTTGGAGAAAATAAACTCTGTTTCTTTAAACCCTGCTCAGCTACCTTTGATGGGGAAGGGTTTGAAGCTTCTTCCAACAGCTTCAGTTGATTCAGCAGAATAAGTATAGATTTAACAATTATTTTCTGGATTTACAGCATTCCTAAGAACCACAGAATATCAGTTAATTTTATTGCAATTACATTTTAATTTTACTCAGAAAGTCAACAGAGGGTGAAGTTGATTTTGAAACCTTTTGTAAAGGAAAAAACTGTGCTAATGCTAGTAGTTATTATTGTTGTTATGGTCACTATTGTTCTGCAGTTGAAATTGGGAAAGAGTGTAGGGAGCATGGAGAAACAAACTTTCTCTTTAAATGAAGTTGAGTGGCTGATTTCAGTCTCATGTGTGACTGAAAACCATGGTAAATTCCAGGATCAGTGGAGTCTGACCCTGGGGTTAACAATAAAGCAATTCCTGCAGAACTCGGGGTCTGAAAGCTGTCACACTATGGATGATAGCCAGGCTGCTGGATCCATTTCAAAGTGACTCAGTCAGTTAGAGAATTACTAATACATTTAGCACCACAGGTATTAGTTATATCTCACCACTGAGAGACTGCTGCAGAGTATTTTTTTTTAATTGTTTAACCATTTATTGTCTAGTTAAAAAAAGTTTATTTGTGCTCCTGTTTGTTTTATTCATAGGAAGATACTTTTGCTTCTGAGATTCCTCCAAATTTTACAGTTTGTAAAGTAAGTAGTAAAATAAAATCTAATTGGAAAATGGGTGAAACACATGAAGAGATATTTCATCAAAGAGGATATACAGATGGCAAATAAGCAGGTGACAAGATGTTTAACATTATTAGCCATTCAGTTCAGTTCAGTTGCTCAGTCGTGTCCGACTCCTTGCGACCCTATGAATAGCAGCACGCCAGGCCTCCCTGTCCATCACCAACTCCTGGAGTTTACTCAAACTCATGCCCATCGAGTCGGTGATGCCATCCAGCCATCTCATCCTCTGTCGTCCCCTTCTCCTCCTGCCCCCAATCCCTCCCAGCATCAGGGTCTTTTCCAATGAGTCAACTCTTCGCATGAGGTGGCCAAAGTATTGGAGTTTCAGCTTCAGCATCAGTCCTTCCAATGAACACCCAGGACTGATCTCCTTTAGGCATTAGGGAAATGCAAATTGAATCTGCAATGAGATATCACTGTATACCTATGGAATGGCTAAAATTGAAGAGTGATAATACCAAAATTTTGGAGAAGATGCAGAGAAATTGGATCATTCATTGCTGTGGAATATAAAATGGTCTAGTTACTCTGGAAGACAATTTAGCTGTTTCTTTAAAAACTAAACATGAAACTACCATATGACCCTGCATTTGTGCTCTTGGATATTTACTTCCAAAGAAATTAAATTTATGTCTACAAATAAATCTGTACATGAAAGTTATAGTGCTAATAGATTAAAACATTAAAAAAATTTAAAAAGTGTGTTAAAATATATGTAATACAAAGTTAACCACCTTGACCATTTATAAGTGTGAAGTTCAGTAGTGATAAGTATACTCACAGTGTCAGCTACCAACCTTCAGAACTCTATTCCTCTTGCAAAACATAAGCCCCATACCCTTTAAATAGTAACACTTATCTTTCCCTTCCCTTCCAGCCCCTGGAAGCCTGCATTCTACTTTCTGTCTTTATGAATTTGATTGTTTAAAATACCTCGTTGAATTACATCTTATTTTATTTTGTGACTGACTTATTTCATTTAGTACAATTTCTTCAAGGTTAATCCATGTTATAGCATGTGTCAGAATTTTTTTGAAGGCTTAATAGTATCCCATTGTTTATTTATTTATCTTTTGATACACACATGGGTATATGTACAAATATCTCTTTAAGACCCAGAAGTGGGAATTGATAGATCATATAGTAATTCTAGTTTTATTTATTAATTTCGAATCTGCTGTAGTGTTTTCTGTAGCAGCTTTACCATGTATACAGGGTTCAAATTTGTCCACATCCTCACCAACATTTGTTATTTTCTATTTCTGTCTTTTTTTTGGGTAGTAACCATCCTTGTAGTTTTGATGTTCATTTTGTTATTAATTAGTGATATTGAGTATCTTTTCATGTTCTTGTTGGCCTCTTGTGTATCATCTTTGGAAAAATGTCTACAGTTTGTTTGTTGAGTTGTAGGAGTTATTTGTATATTCTGAATATTAACCCCTTATTATGTGTATGATTTGCTGATATTTTCTATCCTTTTGTAGGTTGCCTTTATATTCTGTTATTTGTATCCTTTGATTCATGTGTGTGTGTTAGTCCCCCAGTTGTGTCTGACTCTTTGTGACCCCATGGACTTTGTTGCATAGGAGCTTTTAATTTTGACATAGCACAGTTTATCTATTTTTATGTTTGTTGCTTGTGTTTCTGGTGTCATATCCAAGAAATCATTGCCAAATCCAACTTCATGAAGCTTTTTCTCTGATTTCTAAGAGTTTTATAGCTTTAGCTCTTATGTTTAGGTCTTTGACCCATTTTGAGTTAATTTTTGTGTGTGGTATGAGATAAGGGTCCAACTTCATTCTTTTGTATGTGGATTGCCAATATCATTTAACTTACCATTATTTCTTTTTTTAAATTAATTTTTATTGGAGTATAGTTGATTTATAATATTATGCTAGTTTTAGGTATACAGCAAAGTGAATCAGTTATACATATATCCACTCTTCTTTGGATTCTTTTCCCATATGGATCATTACAGAGTGTTGTTGCATAGATCCCCTGTGTTATACAATGGGTTCCTATTAATTATCTGTTTTATGTATAGTGTGTGTATATGTCAATCCCAGTCTTCCAGTTTATCCCTCCCCTGCTTTCCCCCTTGGTGATTGTAAGTTTGTTTTCTACATCTATTTCTGTTTTGTAAATAAGTTCATTTGTACCATTTTTTAAAATTCCACATATAAGCAGTATCATATGATATTTGTCTTTCTCTGACTTACTTCACTCTGTGTGACAATCTCTAGGGCCATCCATGCTGCTACAAATGGCCTCATTTCATTCTTTTATATAGATGAGTAATATTCCATTATATATATGTGTACCACATCTTCCTTATCCACTTTTCTGTTGATAGACATTTAGGTTGCTTCCATGTGTTGACTATTATAAATAGTGTTTCAGTGAACACTGGTGTGTATATATCTTTTTGAATTATGATTTTCCCCAGATATATGCCCAGGAGTAGGATTGCTGGATCATATGGTAGTTCTATATTTAGTTTTCTAAGAAGCCTCCATGGTGTTCTCCATAATGGTTGTACCAATTTATATTCTCACCAACAATGTAAGAGTCCCTTTTCTCCACACTCTCTCCACTGTATATTGTTTATAGATTTATTTAATGATGGCTGTTCTGACCAGTATAAGGTGATCTACTATCTCTCTGTAGTTTTGATTTGCATCTGTCTAATAATGATGTTGAGCATCTTCCCATGTACTTTTTGGCCATCTGTGTATCTTCTTTGGAGAAATGTCTGTTTAGATCTTCTGCCCATTTTTTGATTGGGTTGTTTGTTCATTTTTTTTTTTTTATATTGAGCTACGTGAGCTGTTTCCTTGTTTTGGAGATTAATCCCTTGTTGGTTCTTTCCATCATTTTCAAATATTTTCCCCCATTCTGAGGGTTGCCTTCTTGGTTTGTTTATGGTTTCCTCTGCTGTGCAAAAGTTATTAAATTTATCTAGGTCCTGTTTGTTTATTTGTATTTTCATTACTCTAGGAGGTGGATCATAAAAACTATTGCTGAGATTTATGTCAGAGTGTGTTCTGCCTATGTTTTTATGTAAGAGTTTTTATAGTGTCTTGCCTTACATTTAGGTCATTAATCCATTTGAGTTTATTTTTGTATATGGTATTAGTGTCCTAATTTCATTCTTTTTGTTTGCTTGTTTGTTTCAATTGTTTATTAATGGGCCAGATTACAAAAATAATCCTGGTAGATACCTTAGTTCATCCTTCTAATAAGCCTGTTGATCTGGTCTTCCCTGTTGCCAGCATCTCCACCTTCTACAAAATGGGTGGTCTTTTTCTTCATTCCACCTCGTGGAGAAGACAATTTAAAGGGCCACAGGAAGTTGTTTGCTTCTTTGAAATGTTTTCCAACGGTATAGATCTCATGAATCAGATCCTCCATGCAGATGATTCTGTATTTCCCAAGAGATTGAGCAATCAATGCGTTGTCTGTCAGGGCAATTCGCTTTTTGTTGATTTTGCCATAACTACGCTTGTAGATCAATTCATTTACAGACTTCACATTTGGGTACCCCCATGCAATGTATGGCTCCACAATTCTCAGCATGTTAATTGATGCCTTGTTGAGCTTCACAGAGGTGGTATTGAAGATCTGCCGGAGGTGAAGGAGCTGCAGCACCTTTCAAACCTTTGGACTCACACCGTTGATACCTCTGATCCTGATGACAAATGCCAATTTGGGTTCTGCGGGTACATGGAAGTTGCTGGGTTTTCATGCCATCCTAGCCAGTTGAATTTCAGTTCTGTACATCTGCCTATATTCCTTGTGGTAATGCTTAGCTTTTTCATAAATAAGCTTCCTCCTTACCTTTCGAAGCATCTTTTGGGCAAACTTCTTTCTCAGGCACTTGATCTTAAGCTCTGCGAAATTCTTTCGCTTTTTCTTAAGGGTTTCTGGCACAGCAGGAATCTTCTTTTTCTTCTCTTCTGCACCCTCCATGGTTCCAGCTGGAAAAGAGCCTAATTTCATTCTTTCATGTAGCTGTCCAGTTTCCCAGCACCATTTACTGAATAGACTGCATTTTCTCCATTGCCTATTCTTAACTCCTTTGTCGAAGATTAGGTGACTGTAGGTACATGGGTTTATCTCTGAACTTTCTATCCTATTCCATTGATTTATATTTCTGTTTTTGTACCAATATGATACCACTTTGATGCCTGTGGGTTTGCTATATAGTCTGAAGGCAGGGAGCCTGATTCCTCCAGCTCCATTTTTGTTTTTCAAGATTGCTTTGGCTATTTGGAGTCTTTTGTGTTTCCATACAATTGTAAAATTGTTTGTTCTAGTTCTGTGAAAGATGTCACTGATAATTTGATAGATAATGCATTGAATCTAAGGCTTCCCTGGTAGCTCAGATGGTAAAGCATCTGCCTGCAATGCAGGAGACCTGGGTTGGGAAGATCCCCTGGAGAAGGAAATGGCAACCCACTCTAGTACTCTTGCCTGGAAAATCCCATGGACAGAGGAGCCTGGTAAGTTATGATCCACAGGGTCGCAAAGAGTCAGACACTACTGAGCATTGAATCTATACATTGCTTTGGGTAGTAGAGTCATTTTCACAATATTGATTCTTCAAATCCAAGAACATGGTATATCTCTCCATCTGTTTGTTTCACCTTTGATTTCTTTCATCAGCAACTTGTAGTTTTCTAAGTACAGGTCTTTTGCCTCCTTAAGTAGGTTTATTCCTGGGTATTTTATTCTTTTTCATGTAATGGTAAATGGGATTGTTTCTTTGTTTCTTAATTTCTCTTCCTGATCTTTTGTTCATGGCAAATAGATGGGGAAACAGTTGAAACAGTGGCTGACTTTATTTTTTGGGGGCTCCAAAATCACTGCAGATGGTGACTGCAGCCATGAAATTAAAAGATGCTTGCTCCTTGTAAGGAAGGTTATGACCAACCTAGACAGCATATTAAAAAGCAGAGACGTTACTTTGCCAACAAAAGTTTGTCTAATGAAGGCTATGGTTTTTCCAGTGGTCATGTATGGATGTGAGAGTTGGACTACAAAGAAAGCTGAGCACTGGAGAATTCATGCTTTTGAAGTGTGGTGTTGGAGAAGACTCTTGAAAGTCCCTTGGACTGCAAGGAGATCCAACCAGTCAATCCTAAAGGAAATCAGTCCTGAGTATTCATTGGAAGGACTGATGTTGAAGCTGAAACTCCAATATTTTGGCCACCTGATGTGAAGAACCAACTCATTAGAAAAGACCCTGATGCTGGGAAAGATTGAAGGATGGAGGAGAAAGAGACGACAGAGAATGAGATGGCTGGATGACATCACCAACTCAATGGACATGAGTTTGAGTAAACTCCAGGAGTTGGTGATGGACAGGGAGGCCTGACGTGCTATAGTCCATGGGATTTCAAAGATTCTGACATGACTGAGCAGCTGAACTGAACTGAACTGATATTTTGTTGTTAGTGTATAGAAATGCAAGAGATTTCTGTGTATTAATTTTGAATCCTGAAACCTTACCAAATTCATCAATGAGCTCTAGCCCATTAATTCTTATATGGCATTGGTTGCCCATGTAGCCTACATTATATTAAAATATAAAAAGCATCTGTATACATTAAAATAGAGAGTAAAAGGCTGTAATCAGCCTGTTAGGCAAAAGCACTAAACAGGAAATGGAATCACAAAATAAAATATCAGTCTTTACAGAAAAGCAATTTAGAAACTATTGCCAGTGACACAGAAGCTTTTTAAAATATTGTATATCATCTCTATACATTATGGTTCTACATATTCAAGAAAGTTAAACCTAACAGCCAAATACATACAAAATATTAGATATAAAGAGGCACATTACCATTCAGGACCCGAATAATTTAAGGAATCCACAGAAACATGTTAGGTTAATGTTGTCATAGTTTGGTTTTGGTTATAATACTGGATTCTTCATTCCCATTCAGTCATTATAATCTGTTAATTAAAAGGATATCAATTACAGCTTATTTTTAAAATTGTTGTGAGTTTTTGTTCTAGGATTAAGGTTCATTCTGCTTTTGATCTCATTTGTTTCCACGGCATTAACTGTACATGTATCATAACTAATGTCTCTAATAGCAAAATTAATTTATGTTTAGCATACCATTAAATTTATTTTGAAATTTTACAATAAAAATTATGCTACTGAAAATATTAGACTTCAGTTCTCTAGACATTTTATCATTCCTGAAAACATCTGGGCAAAAGGTTTTAGAATGTATCACAGCATGGTACAGACAGATATCATGACTTAGAATACACGTGAACAGAAATCTATGAGCTGCTTAGCAAACTAGAAAGTTATTAGCTTGTATAATATGCTAAAACTTCATGAAATTAAGATAAATGCTCTGTGCAGGCACAGTAATGTTCTGGTCACATTCTTTAAATCCTTCTCCCATAGATATATGACTGATAGCATGAACAAATTTCAATCAAGTAAGAAGAGCTTAAGTGTAGAAAATACACAATCAACCCAGTTTCCTGTTTCCTGTACCACAGGGCATAGCTACATGCCATCTGGTGATTATCAGGCAAGATAGCTGCCATCTGCCACTTCTGTTAATACACAGGAGAGAGTTAGCTCTCCCTACCCTGTAAGCCTAGGAGATTCTCTTATGTCTGTTTACATGCCCCAGGGCTCCAACTGAAGATAGAATTTACTCTCTGTGTGTGCATGCATGAGTGTGTGTGTGTATGTGTGCATGTGCACCCAACATATCCAGTACCAAAATGAGAGAGTCCTTTCTTACAACCTCTTAAATGACATAGGAGTCTGTGTTTGGCAAGGTTAACTTGCCCCACAGCAAGCATCTTCTATCCTGCTTGACTCAAAGTCAAGACACTATTAAATACAACCTAGGGAGGTGAAACTGGATTGTAGCCATAAAAATAGATTACAAAGTAGACACAAATAGAATCTAAGGTGTGAAAAGGACTTGTCATTCTGTTTTACATCCCTTCAAGGGAAGGTAAAAGCTAAATCATCCTCAAATGTTTTCCGTAAACTCACATAAAAGCATTATTAAGGTATCATATCTCTCCTTATGTCAGGTAGAAGTTAATTTTCTTACATTAAAAAAAGAAGAAGGCATAAGGTTATTTCAAAGAAGCCTTAACTAAGATCCAAAGTTGAGCTATTTCTAGAGTTTAATGAGGTGGCAGTCAGGAGCAAAAAACAGGATATATAAAGTTTTAAAGTCTCAAGAAAATTTATTTCCAAGTAACTGAATTATATCCCAAAACAAAGTTCAAGAATACTTATAGGAATACAAAATATCCAGTACATTACAGTGTAAAATTCATAATATCTGGCTTCTGATAGAAAATTCCCTGTGATGAAAACAATATATGCCCCATACTGAGAAGGATGTTTTTTCGATCAAAACTGACCCCCAAGTGAAACAATAGAGTTAGTAAATAAGAACATTAAAATAGTTGTTATAACTATACTTCACTTAAGAGGCTAAAGCAAAGATCAATCTTGTTAAGCAGAGATGTCAAAGATATAAAATGTGACCCAGAAAGGAATCCAAGATGGTAGCTTAGGAAGATCTTGACCCATCTCCTCACACAGACAACACTCAATCTATACCTACATATGGAGGTGTGAATTACTGATTACTACAGTAATCGAAAGAGTGTGGTACTAATGATTTGCAAGTGATATTTGTAACAAATAACAGGGAGATCTTTCACCAACAAGTTGCCTGATAGTCTACCAACTGGGGATTGGATTTTTTTTAAAAAAGATTTATTTATTTATTTTTTGGCTGTGGTGGGTCTTAACTGCTGCAGACAGTCTTTCCCTAGTTATGGTGAGTGGGGGCTACTCTTTGTTGCGGAGTGCTGGCTTCTCATTGCGGTGGTTTCTCTTGTTGCAGAGCAAGGGCTCTAGGTGCCCAGGCTCAAGTAGTTGTGACGCATGAGCTCCCTAGCTGTGGCTCGTGGGCTTAGTTGCTCTGCGGCAGGTGGGCTCTTCTGGAGCACTGATCTAACTGGTGTCCCTTGCATTGCAAGGTGGATTCTTAACCACTGGACCACCAGGAAAGCCCTATTGATTGGATGCATATTTACCCCTGTGAAGACTCAGGCCAAGGCAGAGGACTTGGTAGGGGTGACACAGAGATACATTTAATGACAGTCAGACTACAGCAAGGGGCAAAGCAGAGTTCTGATGGAAACAAAGGGGGAAATCTTGTCTTCCTGGAGGCACGTGTTTTGCTGAAAGTTTTACTTTCATTTTAGGTTGGAAGGATTCCTTAAAAGAACCACTCGCTATACACAAACAGTTTCAACTTTTAATAGAAGATTGTTTAACTTAATTTCAATATACAATCATTAGGGAAACAGATAGAAAGGGTAGAGAGAGGTAACAGCATATACATTGTCAAATTGAGCCGACACCTACTCCCAGAGTTGAACAGCGCTGGGAAGTCTCACATTAGCAGCAGTCTGGGGTCTCAACTGGGAAATGGTCTCAGGAGGTGCATCCACCCTACAGGTTAGACTTCAGATTGCAATTTGGGGGGCTCCTGCTTATAACCCCA